CACAAAGGTATGGCTTGCTTTGGGTTTGTATAATCACACATTAGGGGGGAAAACCTCTGCACAAGTATTTGTTAAATAACCTGATTATAGCCTCATGACTTCTATGTGCACAATATTGGAAGAAAACCATATTATCAGATATAGAGGTTTGGTTTCACAAGGGCTTGTTTTTAATGTTAACGGAGAAGACAAAACTTATAAATTGATGTGGGTGCATGAAGGTTTTCTGCAAGGTTCCTCCTTGATGCAATTGGTTACTATTCTTGCAATACTGTAATAATTCTAAAAAAACCTCAACCCAGACAAGAAGTTCTAATGTACACTTGAGGTCTTCTTGTGCTTTGGATATACCGCTTAATCTCTGACTGGTCACTGCTTTTGTTTTCCTTACATATGTGAATAGACAAATCATAAATGGAGAGTATTTGTGATATTTTCTCCAAAATATTTATGTGACATTTAAGATGTATTTACATTTACTCACCATCCTGTTATTTATACTTCTCTCCCACCCCACCCTCTTCTACTAACTACCTTGTCCAAACTGGTCATTCTTATTGTTATGTTGAATGATATTAGGGTATTCTCTGTAATACACTAATGCAACAACACCCATTCATATATGCAATAACTTTGACTCTGAGCAGAACAAACTTTGAGTCCAGTGGCACTTTTAAGACCAACACAATTTTATTCAGGGTATACGCTATCATGTGCATGCACACTACTTCAGTTACAATGAAATGGAAATGACCAGTCCATACATATAGGTAGATGGTGAGCAGTAAATTAGCATACAACATAATGAAGATGTTTAACAGATTCAAAGATCAAACAGGAATAACAATACAATACAATACAAAAACCTTTATTGGCATATAAAGTCAGTACGATAAGAACTTTGTCAAGCTAAAATTACATCTATAAATCTTAGAACACACCAATATTAAGAATAGTTTCTTGCTACTTCTGGTGTCTTATCAGCAAGGAGAAACCCGATTGCATTATCAGAATTGATCCTACTCAGTAAGGGCTTAATCAAAAATAGTCAGAGATGTGAATGGAAGGGGCAGCATAGCAGAATACAATCTAAGGTATCAGGTTCTCTAAGTGAGCATTTGCAGATTCTGTCACATTTCGGAATGCCTCTATATCTACCTGAGACCCAGGATGAGGGAAAAACATTGAATCTGGCCAGCATAAAGGCTCCACGTTGCAGCGGGATCACCAGATTAGAGAAGTATTGGGCTATACTATTTGGTGCATATCTGAGGCCAAGGGAAAGGGGGGGGGAACAAGTGCCCCTGGCATCAGCCTGGATTGTTTGGCCTTTGAAGTCCCAAATTCTTTTATGAATCATCCGGTATATAAAGGTCTCATCTTGATTTTCCAAGATGTCCAGGTCAATGCCAATTGAGCATATTTTAGACGTTATAGCCTGTGACCAGTTGGATACATATGGGTCCATAGTCAGGAGTGCAATAAGGCTATTCTGAGAGGCGCTAAAATGGATTTGGAGCCAATATTTAATAGTGGTGATCCATACTGGCGAATCTAACAGATGGAGACCCAGCTCAGCACAGAGAGAATAATAGGTAACAGAGTTAGGTAGTCCAAGAATGCGTCACAAGAAGATTGCATAAATTCAGTTAATCTCTTTATTAAAACACTGAATCCACACAGGGATTCCATATAGTAAGTGAGAGACTACTGTGGCCTGGAAAATTCGAAGGGCGGCCGGGACGAACCGATTTCCTTGTTGGTAATAAAACTGAGTGACAGCCGAAATCCAAACAGGAATAACAAATTTAGTTTATATGGTTACCATTTGTTTGGGTTTAATCCCCGGGGAAAACATAGTGAAGGAAATAAATATGCCAAAATTGGAGATTGATGGGCAGATGTATCCTTAATTGTGGAATGCTGAGAGTAATTAACTGAGACCCTGCCATTACACTCTGTCTCCTCTCAAGCACGGAGGCAACCTTAAAGCATCTTCTTCTTTGAAGTGAGGCAGAATCATTTTCATGGGTAAGGCTGGGTGTTGTGTGATCTGACAGTTATTCTGGTGCCTTGTTGCATGGTTTTATTTTCCTGACCAGCACTGGTGGAAGGAGCAGTAGGGAGCTCCCGGGTGCCGCTGAAGGCAATGGTTTGCTGCCGTGGAGGAGAGTGGGGCGGCAACAGTGCCGCAGCACAAGCACGCTGGGGCATGGGCGGGGAGGAGCCAGCCTAGTTAGGCTCCGCTCCGCTCCCGCCCAGGTAGTTGCTGCCTGTGACTGACTGAGACACTGTCCAACTACAAAAGCTGGCAGATTGTCCTATGAAACATGATCCTTTCAATTTGTTTTGCATATTGTTTCTTCTTCCTTCAAGTCACTACACTATCTATTTGGCTTTTAGTGGACTTTCTGATTTAGCATGTCCTATTTGTATGAGCCCTTTCATTCTCTGGGGCTGGGTCACTGGTGGGTGAAGTGCCATAGAGTTGCCAGATCCAGGTTGGAGATTTGGGGATGGAGCCTGGGGAGGACAGGGACCTCAGTGGGGTACAATGTTTGGGAAATCAATCATGACAAATGATCAGATCCTCTCTCCCTGTGTAAGAGAGAACTAATGATTTGGGATCTGAGTTTTCTCAGGCAATTTTTATTGTATTAAAAAGTACAGGGGGCAGATCCATTCAGATGTAAATCAGGGAGAGGACTCTTTTGAAACCAAAATAAGTCTCACAGACCATGTAGACAAAAAAGGTAAACAAATAATTGAAAATAACTTCCCCAGTATTTAAAAAAAAGTCATTTATTTAAATGTGGGGAAATTTTTTCTTCCAGTTTTCTCTTTCCTTTTCTTCAAAATGCTCTTGAGCCTATTCAAACATGTCAGGACACAATGTTTGCTGGCAAATTCATTTCTGTTGCATCTGAAGTAAAAAAAACACACCCCTAAGTTTATTTACATAAGAGCTCTGTGTAAAAACCCAGTGTAGATTAAATGAATATTTATGTTCCAGCAAGGGGGGCTCGATGTGAAATGAAATGGGGATCTCTGTTTGTTCCTGTGCTCTCAGGGCTGAAGCTATGAAAACAATGGGTTCTATGAGAGGAAGCTGATGCTGAAATCACTCTGCCCAGTAAAGAGTCAACATACTCCTGAAACATGCCCCTTTGGCACATGCTGTATGTTGTTCTCAGCTTGGGGCCAACATAAATTGTTCTGATAGCAAGATGAAAATATAAAGGATGTTTTGGATGAGAACAACACTGCTCCCCTGGATGAGGTTGGACTGGACGATCTTGTAATAACTTCTGCATAAACTCAAAATGACAGCCGGAATCCAAAGAATTGCCCTTTCTTATGGTACAAGAAAGAGTTGGCCACAGTTATCCATGGTATGATGACATCCGGGTTACACTACTGTATTGCACTTTATATGGAGCTGCCTTTGAAGACTATTCAGGAACTTCAATTCATTTGGAATTCAGCAATGAGATTGGCTACTGGAGTAAATTATGGAGAATATATTTTACCACTTTGAGAACAACTACATTGGCTTGCTGGTTCATTTCCAGGTACAATTAAAAGTGCCAGTTCTTACTGCTTAAATCCTTAAGCAGTCTAGGACCAAGGTTTCTGAAGAACCACCGACTCCCATAATTCAGTTAAGAATTTTTATGAAGCCCTGCTAGGTATGCCTCTACTTCTAGAGGCAGGGTGTATAGCAGTAGGGCCTTTGTCGGTGGGGCCTTAATCTTGAAATTCCCACCCTACAGCAATTTGTATGGCTCCAAGTTTACTAAAAAAATTTAAGGATTGAGTAAAACTGAGTACTAATTTTCCTAAGTGTTTGGCTGAGTGATTTTTAACTTTTTAAAAATTATTTTTCTGTTCTGTTTTAGGACACAATTTGTGTTTATTCTTGCCTGTCCTTAAATTTAATATTTTATTCGTATGTGTTTCATTGATCTGTCCTCAGCTACCTTGAATGTGCTCATGAATCAGCACTGGGGGGGGGGGGCGGCATTCAGTTCAAAGAAAGAGTTCACTGAGCCTGAGCCTGGCCAAGGCTTTGGCTACACAGAAAGTTACTATGTAGATCCCTGAGGAGTAGCCATGTAAACAGCAACAGCAGCATCTTAAAGATTAAAAAAAATAATTGCAGCATAAGCGTTTGTGAGCTATGACTCAAGAAAGGTTACACTGGAATACATTTTCTTAGTCTTTCAGTTGCCACTGGACTCCTGCTAAACTCCAACTGGTTTCTTGTTTTAAACTCTTTTGAGGGTCTGTATGCTTCTAAAATACAACTGAAAAATAGGTGTGAATTCACACCATACCTGTGTAGCCCCACCTATTTCAGATCCCATGTTGCACAGTCTCTCACTTTTCTTGGCCAGCAAATAGAACATCCTACTCACACTGTGATTTGAAACAGTTAATGTTCCCTTCAATTGACAGATATTATGATTTTTGGCATTCTTACAGAATGACAATGCCTTGAGACTTTATTGGGCAAGGCCACAAAAGCAAACACATTATAGGCTTACTTATCCACTATAAAATCTAGAGTGATGATGCCTTTTAAAAACAAAAGCCTTTCTTTCTCTCCCTTGTTTTTCCTGTCTCTTTGCTTTCCTGTCTCTTTCTTTTCCTTTCCTTTCCTTTCCTTTCCTTTCCTTTCCTTTCCTTTCCTTTCCTTTCCTTTCCTTTCCTTTCCTTTCCTTTCCTTTCCTTTCCTGTCTCTTTCCTTTCCTTTCCTTTATGCTCTGACTCCCACACAGCCAAGGGTACTCTAGAGAAATGAGGATGAGCCTGTTCTCCAGACGCATTTCTCACCACATCATTCCCTGTCAACTCTCCTTTCCCAGCAATTTTGACAGAACAATGCTTAAACTGGGATCCTTCCTTATTTTGAATTGCCCTGAGTGAATGTTTTTCTACATTTCATACTTATCATCCAAGCTCTTGCCTATATTAAAAAAGTATTTCAGTTGCTGTACCTCTGCAAAAGCATCCCGATTTGCCTGTAGACCAACTTTGACCACTTCAAATGGGTTCACCACAACCGCTTCTGTTAGCCCAGATCCCAGGCCAGCAACTGCAAATGCCTAAAAGAGTTAAATCAATCAGTTTACATGTGCACTGTGGTAAAACATCCCCGCACATCACATTCTGAAGTTAAGCATTGCGCTGACTGATATGATGAAAGTAGAGAGAGAGAGAAAGAGAGAGACCTACCCGTGTGCAGTGGATACCATTACTAAACAGCTTTCGCCCTTGATTAGATGTTGACAGTTCATGCAGAGGAAATTACAAAAGCCACAAACCACATTCCAAATTTTCAAAATAAAATGTCAAAATCCTATCAACAACACATTCTCTCTAGCAGCAAAGAAAGCTTTGTGACTTATTTCAGAAATGTATATGGGGAGGGGGGAGAAGCAGCCCTTCTACCTTCTATTTAGCAGAGGGTATGTACTCCTTGAAGAATAATTTACACATTATCATGTGTCTAATATAGGCACAAAGACTGCTCTTTAAAATATTTACAAGCAGTGCATAAAACAAAGCGTTAATTAGGTAGTAAATGTAAAAGAAAAGACAAGGCTGAATTACAATGTCCCTAAGCCAACAAACAACCTGGGTTGAAGAAAACTTCTCCAGGGCAAATTTCACCCCTGGAAAGGCTTAAGTAGAGTATTAGTAACAAGAGTAATAATTATATATATATATACCACATCACAAACCAGTTGGTGCTTTGGTAGTTAATATAATACAATAAAGTGCAACTGGCATTTAAGGCATACAGTAAAATGTAGTAAAAATTACATAAACGGAACTCAAGCTTCTATTTTAAAACATTAGTTTTTCACAACATAGAACACATTGGCCACAATTTAGCACAAGTCATGAATGCATTTAAAGCAATGCTATACTTTCTAATACACTACACATTTTAATCAACATATTTGCAGTGTCACAACCAATGCTCCCTCTAAGCTGCTGAGTCTTGTGAGCAAAAATTCTACTTTGTGAGCTACTGACATTAAAGTTGTAAGCCAGCAATTTGGCTGCTGCATAAATTAGTTTGCTCTGGAACCATCCTTCCTGAGCTAAGACAAAAATGTGTGAGCCAGAGGCTGAAAAACTGTGAGCTAGCTCACACTAACTCAGTTTAGGGAGAACACTGGTCACAACATACATAATGTGCATACAGTGTAACAAAAAGAGTGTAACGTAGTGGTTAGAGTGCTAGATTAGGATCCAGGAGGTCTAGGTTCAAATTCTCCCTTCACCATGGAAGTTTGTTGGGTGAACCTGGGTCAGCTACACATTCTCAGTCCAATCTACTTGACAGACTTGTTGTGAGAATAAAATGCAGAAGGGGAGGATATTGTAAGCCACTTTGGGGAGAAAAGTAGGATATAAATGCTGTAAATAAATACAGAATAATCTCAACCTAACAGGCAGAATGTAGTGTTATGAATGGCACACAAAGGAACTTAAGGGGCCCCTCTCTGTTCTGAGTCTTTCTTGTGCCACTTAACAAACTACTATAAAAACTCAGGCTGCAGTACCTTTCCAAAGTAGCTTCTGATGCTACATAAGGAGTATCAGATGGGGAAAACACATGACATCACAGTCACATGACAAGAAGAGTTTTGACTTCATGAGTGTCAGAGCCAGAGACCATGGACAACAGACCAAAAGAACCAGGGGCAGGAAAAACAAGTTAAGCTCCAGGAGGTACCCAGTGAGGAAAAAGCCAAAAGTCAGAGCCCAGGAGGAGGAGGAGGAGATTGGATTTATACCTCACCCTTCATTACCAAAGGAGTCTCAGAGTGGCTTACAATCTCCTTTCTCTTCCCCACAACAAATACCCCATGAGGTAGGTGGGGATGAGAAAGCTCTTTTGAGAACTGCTCATGAGAGAACAGCTCTGAGAGAACTTGTGACTGACCCAAGGTCATGCCAGCAGCTGCATGTGGAGGAGTGGGGAATCAAACCCTGCAACTTGGAGTGATGGCAGGAGAAAAAATATATGATTTTACAATAGAATTTCTGGCAATTCCCAGAGAGGTATGATGTCACTTCCAGGTTTCCCCAAATGTAACATCACTCTGTCTCCAACAGCTGCCCTTACCCATGTCCCCACCCTCCCAATCCCCTATCCTTTCAACATGCATGAAAAGACAGGCAGGGAGTATGGCACCCTTGAGACCAGTAGCAGTTCCTTTAAAGAAGCAGCAAAAGAATTGGCAGCTCTTTGGGGGTTCATGATGCAACAGAATGTGTCTATGACCCACAGGCTGAAGACCATTGATACAACACATTGAATTCTACATGATTATTTCAGTATACAATACTGAGTGCAGGAGCCACACATGGAACATTCACAGACTCTACATAATCCTGTGTTCCCATCTTCCACTCAGCACACAGAAGGCGTTATGGAGTATTTTATGTCCAAGTGTGCCTCTCATGCGTATGTGTGGCAGGTGTTATCAAGTCCCTTCTGTCTCATGGCAATCCTGTGATTTAATTACCTCGAAAATGGCCTATCATTAACAGCCTTGCTCAGTCTTGTTCTGCATATAGACTGAAGAGATAAAGAGATAAAATACATCCTTGTCTGACACCTTTGCCAACTGGAAACCATTCTGTTTCTCCATAGTCTGTCCTAACAGTAGTTTCTTGTCCAGAGGTCAGGTTGCACATCAAGACAATCAGATGTTGTGGCACACCCATTTCTTTTAAAACCACCCATAGCTATAGCTTTTCATGATCCAAAAGCCTTGATGTAATCTATGAAACACTAGCTGATTTTTCTGAAATTCTCTCATATGCTCCAGTGACCAATGTAAATTTGCAATATGATCTCTAGTGCATCTTCCTTTTCTGAATCCACCTTAAACAACTGGCAGTGGCAGGCCCATGGCCTATTAGGGAGAGAGTATGCAGAAGAAAAACACAACCAGACTTTTAATGGAAAAAAATGGTCACAGCTTTATTGAGAACAGTATGAGAAGCACTGGTGCAGCATGGGGACGGATCCAGCATTGGACAACCCACCTGTTGCCTGATGAATCCATTCTCCCATCTCCCTGCTGGGGGGGGGCATGGAGTGGCAATTACAGAGGGAACCACATGAATGCTGGCTTCTGCGTGGCTCCCTTGACACCTGGGGGCGAAAGCCATGCAACAGCCCCTGATCCGAGCATGCCGCAAAATGGCTCACCCCAAGACCCCAAAAGGGAGTCCCCAACTGGAGAACATGGACACACAGGCACAACCTCTACAAAATGGATATGTCCCAATTCCCTAACTACCACGAGGGTGAGAAGGCACCTCCGTGCTCCCACCAATGCTTCTAAGCCTGTAGCCAACAAAGCAGGCCATCACAAATGCTGTGTAGCCAAATGTCCATATCACACTCTGAGAGGGAAACGCTAACATCCCTGTATAGAGCCATTTGATGGAATGAAATGTCCACATGTTCAATTATAAATCCCCCCCCCCCAAAAAAAAAGATTTCACAATTTTCCCTGCTACCCTGCAGACCTTTTTTCTGGCTAAGTGCACTCTGTCTGGAGTGACGGCACCTCTCCATTCACGACGC